TCATTCCATCTAAAATTAGACAATTTAAAAAAAATTATGTTCTCTCAATACAGGCAAGGTTTCTTTCTGCCTGGATACATGAACATTCTGATCTGCCACGGCTAAATATTGAGGAAGTATTATGTAAACCATCCTCGCCTGTCAACTTTCTAGGGAAACGTTTAAATGACTTACCTCACGTAATAAAGCATAACCCACTGATATATAATGCTATGTGGACGTGGGGAAAACTGAGAAAACTTTTTAACAGCAGTCATCCATTTGATATTTTGTCAACACTTATAAATAATCCAGACCTTCTGACATAGTGTCGAGCTTTGTGGTACGGCATAAAGTAGGTGTTTAGAGGTTTTATGACCTCTTTAAACATGGTGAGTTTAAATCATTTGAATCCCTGAAGTCCCACTATTCTATGTCAAAGACTGAGTTTTATAAGTATTTGCAATTGAGAAATTATGTGTTAAAAAATGCTAAATCATTACAAATCCCAACAGCCTCTTTTCGGTTGGAGAAATTTCTTCTGGATAAAAGGGAGCAAAAACATTTTATATCAAAGTTTGATTCAGAGATTTTTGCCCTAATTGTGGATAAACTGGCATGGTTGAAAAAATCTTGGGGGACATTGCTTAAATGTGAAATAGATATACAGGCATGGGACAAAATCCTGCTCCTTCCATCTAAAATCTCTGTTTGTAACCGATTTAAAGAACTGCAGCACAAAATTTTGCACAATGTGTACATTTCTCCGTATATTTATAGTAAGTATAATATGGGAACATCTCCGAATTGTCTCAAGTGTAAGGTCAGAGTGGGCACTTGATCCATTGCTTGTGGGAATGTGCTATTATCCAGTCATTTTGGAAAGAGGTCTGCGCCAATATTAGTACAGCCATTAGTCATCAGGTGACAGAAAACCCATTAATGTGTATATTGGGATGTATTCCCGTCTCACTGGTACAACATGAGCATGTAATTCAGTCACTGTTAATGTTGGCCAGGAAAAGCATTATGTTGAGATGGGTGGGGGCTGAGCCTTCCTCCATTTCTCTATGGAAGTCGCTCATCAGTGATGTTATGACTCTGATCAGGCTGGGACACTATTTTGATGGGAGCTCCCAAATTTTTGTGGACAAATGGAAGAAACGACTGGAAGCACTGGGAGTAACCTGTAAACTGGATCCTAATGGACAATAATTATGGACATAAATTATCACAAGTTCTTTGTGGACTCTGGAGAATGTGTAATATTCTAGTGCTGTGCAGTGTTACTATTTTGGATGTAAAGCAGTCTTGTATTTGTTGGGGGAAAAAAAGTTAAATAAAAGTTAAAAAAAATAAAATAAATAATAATAATTCCTGTAAGTTTTTCTCCAACTTGCTTTACTTTTATGGTCCAAAGGTTCAAGTTATTTTAGCAGACAGTAATAAAATTTAAATTAGAAAAGACCATTCTTAGCAATTTCTGAATGACATATAATGCTGCAAAATAATGCATGCAGAATACTTTCTAACCCTTACATGCACACATGACTGGGCCGTACACTCTTCCAGAACAGAACAATCTCTACATCTAACAACATCCATACTTTGGATTTACCACACCAACTTCTGACTTCATGATCTTTGTTTCTCTTTGGTTGGGCCTGTCTGCTTTTCCTGTGGCTTTTGTCACCCAACACCTTCCCATTGCTTCAGTGATACTGGTTTGCGGTTGGGAGCAACTTTCCAGTTGAGTTCTCATGTGTGGTGTGAGTTGTGCATTAGTGATTCTGCTCTTGAATTGCTAAGCTATGAAAAGGTGTAGGGTAGCAATGTTAAGTATGTCATACCACAGCACCA